GTAGTGCCCTGTTGTGCAATGTTCTCTTTTCACCAGAACCTGGCACTTCAGGTTGTTTCCTGTGTGTTATATGCACCCTACTGTTGTGGCTGAGCCACTTTTGCCTTCAGTCCAGTTGTCTGTAATGGCTTTCTTTGCCTATTTAGTCACTCTATTGTTAGTGGGCCAGTCTGGGGCTGCCTGGGGCTTGAGTTGGGTGAGACCAGGTATTTTCCAGAGCTGCACTAGCACCAAACTGCAGGTCACTCATGCTGTTTTGTCTCCTGTTAAGCTTTTGTTGATTGCCGGGGCCTGAGTAGATAAGTGACATCTCGTTACCTTTGCTATGTTCCACTGATTAGGAGGAAGTCATTGCTCCTGCCTGCTCTCAAGGGAAGGGAATTACACAAAAGCATGAATGTCAGGGGTAGAGATCATTGGGATTTGGGATTTTGGAAGGTGCTTACAGAGAGGCACTCTCCCATGACTCAGGACTTAAGTTCCTGGCAAAGACTACCTGGAACAAGTCTGATATTATGCTGGGGTGGCCCCTTAAATTTTGGAAATGTGGTGACCTAAAGAAAATAATGTGGATATGCTCAAACTGGTCAGAGTATTTAGGAAGGATTCAAAAGACTTAGGGAGTAGAGCATGACAGAATGTCTGTATTATACAAGGCCAGAGAATCAATTAGATGACTTTACTACTTGAGAAATCCCAAAAGACATACCCATTGGTAAAAGAGTAAGGAATGCTAGTGGAAGGGTGGGGCACTGGAATTGTTAAGTTCATAGGTGAACTTCCTCTCTAGGTTGGGGTGGAGTAGAAAATGCTGCTATAGATCTACATTCTCTTGTATCAGCAGGGTTTATAGGATTCTGAACTAGCAGAGGCCTGGAATTGGCACTTAACTTGTTGGAGACAAGATTGTAATAATTAAAGTAACTGGCAGCAAAGCCAAAATTATAATGGGAACTTTTGCCAACAGGTATATTTGGTGATGGCTAGTTGACTGTGGTGTTCATAGGAGAAGGATGTGTGGAAAGACAGCAGGGGATTGTTTAACTTATATATACAAAAAGTTCAAGACTGAATAAGCAGAAAACTGATGTTGGCAAACATAATGGCAAATCAGAATCCTTCTCCTAGTTTCCAGACCAGAGTTAGCTCTCAGAGCCTGTTGATTCAAAGAGAGACTGGGTCCCCTTGAGGAAGTAACTTGCAACATCACAGCATGTGTTTGTAGTATATATTACTCAGTCTTTCTTCAAAGAGACTTCTGGTCATTCACCAGAATAATTATATCTGGAGAATGGGGAAATACCAATCTTTTGAGGATGTTGGATACTGGTTCTAAGCTGAGACTGACACCAAAATGCTATCATGCCTCCATGGTATAATGAGGCTTATGGAAGCCAGGAGATAAGTGGGGTCCTGGTCCAAGTCCATCTCAGAGTGAGTACATTTTTTCTTATGCTGTGGTCATTTCTCTTGTCCCTAAATGCATAATTGGATGAATATAATAAACAGATGCAGAACCTTTACATAGGTTCCCTGACCTGTGGAGTAAGCACTATTATGATTGGAATGGCTAAGTGGGATCTGGTGAAATTGCATTCCCAAACTAAGAAAGTAAGTCACAATTTATCTAGTGGGATGGTAGAGATAAGTGCCACACTTAAAGAATTAAAGGATGGTGGGTGGTGATCAGAATTATATCTCTTTTAACTCAGCAGTCTGGCTCATGCAAAGTCAAATGGATGAAAATGGGCCATGGCTGGCAACTGTAAACAAACAAATGAACAGACACACGAAAAAGTCCCTTGATAGCTGCCATATCAGATGTGGTATCTTCACAAGAATAGATAAGGCTAATCTCTGGCACTTACTGTGTGGTTACTGATATGATTAATGCTCCTTTTTTTTTCTCATCAGATAAAAAGATCAAGAGCAGTTTGTTTGTCTGGATGGGCAGTCATACATATTCAGTTTTACCCTGGTACTATATGAACTTTCCTAATGCCTGTTATAATATGGGTACCTTGATCATCCTGACATTGAACAGAATACTGGTCCATATCTTGATGATATTGTATTAATTGGATCTGCTGAGCAGGAAGTGGCAATCACTGTAGATATTCTGGTAAGACACCTGTACAATGCACATCTTTAGAGGGCTACCCCATCAGTGAAGTTTTTAGGGGTTCAGTGGTCTGGGGCATGCTAGAGGTTTTTTGTTTTGTTTTGGTTTTTTGTTTTTGTTTTTGTTTTTGTTTTAGAGAGGGAGAGAGAGAATCCCAAGCTGGCCCAATGCAGGGCTTGATCTCACAACTCTGAGGTCATGACCTGAGCTGAAATCAAGAGTTGGATGCTTAACTGACTGAGCCACCTGGGTGTGCTAGAATATCTTTTCCAGAAAGTTATTGCACCTTGAATAACCTACCACTAAAAGAGAATTGCAATACTTGGAAGACCTTGGATTTTGGAGGCAGTATTTACTACACTTGTGAATGATACATTCAGTCACATTATTGGGTGACTCAAAAAGACACCGGTTTTGAGTGGTATCAGAACATAAAAGGGTTTCTGTAGCAGGTTCAAACTTTGGCATGAGAAAAAGTTTACTTACTATGACTGAATTGTGTCCCTTCCAAAATTCATATGTTGATGCCCTAACCCTTCTCACCCTTCTGCTGACTGTATTGGAGATAGGGCCTTTAAGGAGGTGATTCAGGTTAAATGAAGTCATAAAGGTGGAGTCCTGTTAAGATACAATGGTGCCTTTATAAGAAGAGAAAGACACCAGACCTCACTCTTCACCATGTGAGAATACAGTGAGAAGGTACTGGTCTGCAAGCCAGGAAGAGGGCCCTCACAAGAACCCATGCTGGCACCCTCATCTTAGCCTTGTTGCCTCCAGAGCTGTGAGAAAATAAATTTCTGTTGTTTGAGCCACCCAAACTATGGTATTTTGTTATGGCAGCCTGAGCAAACTAAAATAAATCCCTTTTATTTTGGCCATATCACTTGGCATATCCTATATGCTATGTGTTTAATCTTTCCTATGGTAGATTAAAGACACTGTGTGTAGTCTCTGGTAAGACCTAGGAAGAGAGTTGCAGAGTAGACCAATAGGATTCTGAAATACAATCATATCATATGTGGCATGGAACTTTTTTTTTTTTTTTTTTGGAAAGGAGCACATGAGCACTGTAGAGACCTAATACTTGACTGTGAAACACCAAGTGACTATGGGACCAGAGTATCCCATGATGACTTAGGTATTGGCTGACCCACAAATTATAATTTGGGTGGGTACAGCGGCAATTCATCATACAATGGAAATAGCACAGTTGCAACTGGATCCAACTTGGTCCAGAGTTACAGAAAAAAGGTGGTTCTTCTCTCATGTCAACTACCTCTACTGCACTAACACTCCTCCTTCAGATTGGCCTGCAGCTTCATGGGTGGGGGAGTTCTTATAACTGGGTTTTAGAGATAAAATACCCAGGTGTGGTTCACAAATGAGTTGGCTATCTGGATGAACCAAGGAATATGAGCTACAAAGTATGTGGTTCTTTGTGTCTCATGTTAATGCTCACAAGAAAGTATCTGACACAGAGGAGACATTGAACAATTAATTTGTTGGATAGGATGACTGGTTCAATGGTTATAAGGCAGCTTCTGTTCTCAGCTACTCCAATGCTTGTGTGATGGCCAGTGAGGCAGTGATCATCGACATTGTACATGTACCTCTCACCATAAGTGATTTAGATGTTGTGGCTGCCAACCTTTCAGCCCAGAGACAAATGCTGAGACCTCAACAGCAGGGAGACCATTTGGAGAATACATTGGTTACATTGGACCCTTTGACTCTTGAGGGGGCAATAGTTTGTCTCTACTGAGGTTGATATGTATTCTAGGTGTGGATGTATCCTCCCTGCCTGCAGTGTCTTGGCCAGCACTGCCATCTGACGGCATATAGAATATCTGATTTTTAGACGTGGAATCTCATCTAATATCTCTTTAGATCAAGGGAATCTTTTTTTTTTTTTAATGAAAGACTTGCCACAATGGGCACCTGATCAAGGAATCTACCAGTTTGCCATTAATGGCATCATCAGGAAACTACTGGTCACCTACAGCATGCTGGAAAAACCTCATAAATGAGCAGCTAAGGAGATAGTTTGGAGATCACCACCGTTTAGGGTTATGGTGATGTCCTTCAAGATGTGGCATATATTTTAGAACAATTATTCAGTAGTGCTTTGTCTTTGAAAGCTAGAATATTGACCTAGGAACCCAGGGTCTCTTACCATCACTTCTAGTTGTGGAGGTGCTGGGTTATATGGTATGTGCAGAATTGATTTGATTATGTAATGTCAGATGGTTCTCCAGAAGGCCACCAGCAGTGCTTAATGGCTCCCATAGCCCTTCATTTTCCACTAACACCTGGCATCACCAGCTTTCTGAGTTTTTCCCTACAGTAAGGAAACACAGGGCATGGGTACAGGAAGGGTCATCATATTTAGGAGCCCAGAGAATTTCAGATTCTGTGAGTCTTCTCTATTTCTTCATCTCTCATTCTTCATACCAATGGGCAATGAGAACCCATAAACTCCTCAGTAACAGTTCTTTGAGAGAACAAAGTTCTAGAAATTCTGGGTGCTCTGAGGCTCCTCTGGGACAAATTTGGAAGGGAAGACACCACAGAACACAGAGAAGTTTGTGAGAAGTTTATTTTATAGACCACAACAGATATTCCAGCCAAGTTTTCTTTCTTTCTTTCTTTTTTAAAATAATGTTCTGGGAGACCTCTTTTTTTTTTTTTTTTTTTTTTAAGATTTTATCCATTTGACAGAGAGAGACACAGCGAGAGAAGGAACACAAGCAGGGGGAGTGGGAGAGGGAGAAGCAGGCTTCCCGCGGAGCAGGGAGCCTGATGTGGGGCTCGATCCCAGGACGCTGAGATCATGACTTTAGCCGAAGGCAGACGCCCAATGACTGAGCCACCCAGGTGCCCTCCAGCCAAGTTTTCTTGAAGGAACCACCCTGGGGGGCAGTTAGACAAGGGCTTCCACCAAGATCAGATTATCTGTATGCCCTGAATGGTATAAAAATATTTTTGTCCATTGGGCACCACTGCCTTATTAGGGCAGATACCTTCTTTTTCAATAATGTGGACCATTGCTGCTATTGCCATAGTTCCTGAAAGAGACAAGGACAAAGATCTTCTCTGATAACACTCTAACCCCATTTCCTGGCTTTTCTACTAGTTTCAGGCACCTCCTTCTAGGGCCTAGTTTCCCTAAATCATTTGCAAATATATCTCCCTTAAGCTTTTCTCACACAACCCCTCAACTTTCAGACGTGGGCATAGTCCCCATCCACTCTCCCCGCTTCTTCCCTCCTTTCTCTCCACCCTTCTGCCCAACATTCTGCTCCACATCCAGAGTCACATTTCTCTTTATGGTTTCCCCTGCCCTAGTGGATAGTTCTTCCTTTGGATGACCCCTATACTTACTATTGACTTCAAAGTTCCAGTAGAAAGTTCTTGGATAATCCTCACAGAGGCAGGCGGTGTAATTATAGTTAAAAGGACCATCCATTGTATGGCTGCCTCGGAGGAAAGTTTTAATCTGTGGAGGAGGAGGTGGGCAGAGAGGACCCTGTGTTAGTCTGGGGAGTGGGAAAGGGAGAGAAAGGCAAGAAAGCACGAAGAAGGAGGAGGACAACATCCTTCATGTGCAAAGAACAGGGACGGATGTAGACCAGAGGCACTGTGGAGTCCACTTTTGTAGTATCATTTTGGGAACAAAAGTCTAGGTCAGGTTTTCTATCAACATGTCCTCAAATTCCTGCTTTAGTGCCACCGTGGGTCTGGGCTCTGAAAGGAAGAGTTAGTGAATTGGCAGGGCAAGGAGAATTCATTCTGGGGCAGCCTTCATCTGGAGAGCAGGTTTGCTGTTATTCCCTGGCTAGGGATTTCAGGAACTGGTCTGTGACCACAGCTTGGCTCTTGGGTGTGGAGGCCAAAACCAGGTCTTGTTGCCAGAACCATGCTCCTCTCGAACTCTGTGACCTTTGATGATTGCAGTGACATCTCTCAGTCTCTCTGTCCTTGGTTGTGAGAGGAAAACAGTTACTTACCAAAGTTGGCTGTAAGATAAACAAATGAAATCTTGAAGGTAAATTTCCTTTTTTAATTTGAGAGGGGTTTACAACTTGGGATATGTAAGTTTCAGCAGCATTAGGAACTTTTTGTCTGGTTAGTGTTCAGCACGGGGGTGTTATCCTGGAGTTCATAGACCAAGAGGGTCTGTGAACTCAGATGGAAAGAAATTGCATCTTTATTTTGTTAACATCTCACTGAAATTGAGTATTCCTCCTGTTATGTCATCAGCGATCCTCAGTGGCATTAGCAGTGTGTATGATTTTATCGTGAAGAGAAACATAGATTTGTTAGTATTACTTGGCAGGTTTATATATCTCAAAATATTGCCTGCACTCATCACTACCTTGAACATGGGGACATTATCACGGGGTTGCATGGTCATGGCTGGGGCCATCTGCCTATCTCCTGAAGCTTGCCGAGGTAACTGACAACCGTGCACCAAATAGCCTGTCAGCTCCAAACGGCGAATTCAAGTGTTCTCACCATTGGAATTTTACTCAGAATATTTTGAAGATCCTGGTGTTTCTTTCAAGAACCCTACCCTTGGGACACGTGGGTGGCTCGGATGGTTAAGTGTCTGCCTTCGACTCAGGTCATGATCCCAGGGTCCTGGGATCAAGTCCCACATCGGACTCCTTGCTCAGCAGGGAGCCTGCTTCTCCCTCTGCCTGCCGCTCCCCCTGCTTGTGCTCACTATCTCTCGCTGTCAAATAAATAAATAAAATCTTTAAAAAAAAGAAGCTACAAATAAAAATTGTTGACCAGAATTAAGAAAATTTCCTACAAATTCTTTCTAATTTACAATATCATTTATTTTATGAGATTCCTTGTATTTGGGTAGGTTTTAAAAAGATTGCCTTATTTTATTGTGTTAGCATTGTTCTTAAAACATAGTCCTTATAATTACTGCAGTACAAAAGTATTTCACATGTGATTTTGTTGATTAAACACACTTTTTTACCTATCACTTTCTCAGGGGTGGAAATGGAGTTTCATTATCTATCATCACCAGAAACTACCATTATCACAAGACATTTTCATTCCTTTTGTCATCTTTGTTTATGATAAACAAAACACAAAATTGAAAAATTATGATGTGGCCTCCCCCCCACCCCCAATTAACATACAAGGTTCATATTCTCGAACTGTAAACAGACAAATTTGACAAAGCACCTGTGTTGTTCTTTGCTCAGTGATCAGAAATCTTTCTCTTACAGGTATGGGGCCATTTTTAGAATGTATTCTTATGAAGAACAGTCTTCATGCTCCCAATTTTGTTTTTGATTTAATCATCATACGTAAGTCTAATTTGAGTTAGGAAACTCCTGCCATAGGAAAATGCTTGTGCTGTCTGAGAGAGTGCCCTTCTGGAAGGAGTCAGTGTGGAGACTCCCGGGTCTTTGCCCTAGAACAGTGATAGCTAACAAGGGGCAGATTGTGTGTGCGTGACAACATGTGAGAAGGTTGCTGGCAGGGAGGAGAAGACACACTCTTTCCTGGGGAAGAGCCTCTGTGGATTAAACCTACACAGACCCCTTTTCCTCATGGCCCAGAGCAGCCAAACAGGAGTGATAATGCACAGGTGAGACTTAGATGCGTTTCCATTTGAGAACCTCCGATCTAGTAAAGGGATCGGACCTCCCTCCCACAACTGCTGAAGTGGAGAAAGTGGGGAGGAGAGTGTGGGCTCCTTGTTGGGGAGAGGAGGCTGGAACGAGAATGAACTACTGATGGTAGAGCAAAAGGGCAGAGGGAGAGGCAATGAACGCAACCTCTGCTCAGAGCTTACTGCAGAGGAGGGACTCATACCCCATGTGTTCTCTGCAACATAGCTCTTCTGCCCACCTGCCTCAATCCACTGGATGGGGGTGCAGTTTTCCTTGTGAGAACCCTCTATCCCACCCCTTATCTCAAACAATTACGTCCAGGACCTTAGAGGAGCTCTTACTTCTTCTCCCCCAGCTCTTACTCTTTTCCTCTCTTCTTCCTCTTAGCTGTGCTTTTCTCACTACTCATTCCTTCTTTCCTTCTCATCCTTCCTACACCTCTTTGGATCAGGTTCCTTCATCTGTAAAATGAGAATAGTAATCTGCCCCAAGGTCTGATGGTTGTTTTGGGGCTCAAGTAGCATAATACATATGAGAATTGGGAGCATGAGGATTGCTATTCAGCATTTTATTAAGTATAATATGCAACAGTAAAGTGAGAGACTAATCTAATTGTACTCGTAACAAAGGAGTCCGAGTTTTCTTGAGTTTACTTCCCCAGGCCTCTACTTACCACCATACATTCTCTTAATTCCGTTCCAGTTGTAAGCTTCAGAGTGACTTCTTCATTTTCTTTTGCTACTTGGGGCATCTGCAAGTTCATTTTTATTACTGTTCGACTGGTTTTGGGAAGAGAGAAGCAGGGCAGAAATCAGAGATCTGTCCACAAGAGAGATGAGCACAATGAGCAGAGCAGAGGGCACAGGAAAGGTGCAAGGGGAAGGGGATGATGGGATCTGAATCATTTGCTGAGTATCAGAACCCTTGGAAATCTTTGATCCTTGTTTGGTTTGGTTGTTTTCTACAGACTTTGTTTTGTTTAATAAAACAACTTTGATGCTTTATTTAAAACTGAGCATCATTGTTCTTTCCACTGACAAAAAAATAAATTAAAAAAGAATAAGAATACAATATCACATGTCATTTCTTAATAAAATCCTCCAAGTTCTGTTGATTGTCCACTAAGTGGGAAGGCTCAAATCATTGTTAGTAGAAATATTCCATATCAACAGAATCATACTAAACCTTAAACATCTTAATGCACTGGAGGAATTTTTAGAGTCATCCTTGAGATCCTCCTTCTTTGGTTCCTGGTGGGGCCTAGGAATTTGTATTTCTTTAGCTCTGCAGTGAATTTGGACACATGGCCATATTTGGGAACTTTAGATGCTACCCTGTTTTCAAGCCACATACCACAGTCTGATGGGAAAAGGAAATGGAGACAGAGGGAAGTCAAGGATTCTTCCATCAGGGAGAACTGGGTTCAGGACTAGGAGACTTACTTTCTCTCTCCCAGAAACTCCTGGTTGAGCTCTTTTGGTGTTGGGTGGGACAGGAGGAAAATTCAGGCTTTTGGCTACAATGCTTCATGGTCCCATTTTACTGGAGTAAAGCATCTTAGATTTTGGAGATATTCCATTTCTTGTACCAGTTGCTCTAGTGCTAAGTGTGCAGGAAAGGGTATGAAGACTTAAGTGTCTCCAAAAGTCCTCTCATTTATAAATGAATTTAGGATTGATAAAATGACCAGCTTAGCTAGAGTGAGTGATCAGATCAGCTTGCCCAGGAGTGAGGAGCTTCCTGGGATGACAGCCTTTTAGCGCTAACACCGAGAAATTCCTGAGCAAATGGTAATGGCTGATCACCCTAATTAGTATAGTTTATTTCAACGACTTGCTGTCCCATCTCAGGGTGGGGTGACATCTGTATCTGAACCTACCCTACTCAATGTTTCTTAGGACACTGGCCTCCACTATACCAACTTGTCAAAACTCTGAAGGGTTTACTCTGTCCAGGAGAGGATGTCTGGTCATGCCACAGAGGGTACCATCAGAATCACAATCTAAAAACCCAGGATTCAAAACCATATTCTTGTAAAGAAAACCCTCTAGATTTGCTGAGTGTCCCTGCTTCTCCCAGACCCTGCTCCATTTCCTACTTCATTTTGCCCAATTTTCCTGCTTCCTTCAAGTATGTACCCTCAATGATTTGGCTTCTGAACCTGTGCTTCTGGGTCCTACTGAGGGTGGTGGGTGAGTGTGTACTTTCTTTTGTCTTTGGGCTTCAGAATAGGAAGAATGTCTAAGCTGCTGGGCTAGCTCAACTTCAGACCATGTGGTCAAGGATCAATGATCAAGGCTTCTGATCCTTTAGTGAGTCCTGCCAAAATTGCTCAAAGCTATCATTGAAACTCACAGACCTGCTAAACATTCTGTTCTAGGAGACAAGGTGTGAGAACATAAAGTTTACTGAGCAGAAATCTAACAAAAGTGTAGACTATGGACAGAATGTAGATCAGAGCCACAGAGCAAGACTGATTGTTAATTACAGCCTTTACGCACACTGGGTGCCATATTTCCATGGACAACCTAGAAGCATCCAGTGGAAATATGAAGGGAGTTGATAGGACTTCCTAAGAGGAGAGAAGTGGGACTTGACCTGGGGTTTATAAGCGTCCCTGGGACTAGAGTTCTGGGAAGTTGAAAAGTTTTCAGGAAGGGATATATAGATTTCCAGGCTAGGATAGGAGCCCTCCCTGAAAGGATTTTTGTGAGGAAGAAAAAAGCTTGGCTCACTTGTCTTCCTGAGCTTTGTTGGTCCCCAGCTGCAGACAGAGAACCAGGAGCAGGACGCCAGGGCCGGCTCTGAACAGGAGCTGGAGAAGGTGCATGTTGGACGAGACAGGAATGTGATGTCCTAGAGAAGTACTGTCCCAGGTGCCCAGCATACTCCTTATATGCAGATCAAGGAAGTGGGAGAGCTGCCAAGCGGATCCATATGGTCAATTAGCCAATTATCCTTTCCACTCATGCTCTTTCCTTGTTGACCTAAAGTTTGTTTTTCTATGGAAAAAGTCAACATTCAGCTACAGTGTTCGAGTCCAGGAAAGGAGTTAGATTATCCTTCCTCATTTACTTAGTATACCAGAGTTTCTCAGAATAGCCAGGACCTCAAAAAACATAGCAGCTCTTACCCAGAGCAATCTATACCTTCAATGCCATCCCGATCAAAATTCCAATGAAATTTTTCAAAGTGCTGGAACAAACAATCCTAAAATTTGTATGGAATCAGAAAAGACCCCGAATCACCAAGGAGATGTTGAAAAAGAAAAACAAAGCTGGGGGCATCACGTTGCCTGATTTCAAGCTATATTACAAATCAGTGATCACCAAGACAGCATGGTACTGGCACAAAAACAGACATACAGACCAATGGAACAGAATAGAAAACCCAGATATGGACCCTCAACTCTATGGTCAAATAATCTTTGACAAAGCAGGAAAAAACATGCAATGGAAAAAAGAGTCTCTTCAATAAATGGTGCTGGGAAAATTGGACAGCCACATGCAGAAGAATGAAACTCAACCATTCTCTAACACCACTCACAAAGATAAACTCAAAGTGGATGAAAGACCTCAATGTGAGACAGGAATCCATCAAAATCCTAGAGGAGAACATAGGCAGTAGCCTCTTTGACATCGGCCACAGCAACTTCTTTCAAGATACATCTCCAAAAGCTAGTGAAACAAAAGCAAAAATGAACTTTTGGGACTTCATCAAGATAAAAAGCTTCTGCACAGCAAAGGAAACAGTCAACAAAACAAAGAGGCAACCCACAGAATGGGAGAAGATATTTGCAAATGACACTACAGATAAAGGGCTGGTATCCAAGATCTATAAAGAACTTCTCAAACTCAACACCCAAAAAACAAATAATCAAGTCAAAAAGTGGGCAGAAGAGATGAACAGACACTTCTCTGAAGAAGACATACAAATGGCTAACAGACACATGAAAAAATGTTCATCATCATTAGCCATCAGGGAAATCCAAATCAAAACCACACTGAGATACCACCTTACACCAGTTAGAATGGCCAAAATGGACAGGGAAAGAAACAACAAATGTTGGAGAGGTTGTGGAGAAAGGGGAACCCTCTTACACTGTTGGTGGGAATGCAAGTTGGTACAGCCACTTTGGAAAACCGTGTGGAGGTTCCTCAAAAATTTAAAAATAGAGCTACCCTATGACCCAGCAATTGTATTACTGGGTATTTACCCTAAAGACACAGATGTAGTGAAAAGAAGGGTCCTATGCACCCCAATGTTCATAGCAGCAATGTCCCCAATAGCCAAACTGTGGAAAGAGCCGAGATGCCCTTCAACAGATGAATGGATAAAGAAGATGTGGTCCATATATACAATGGAATATTACTCAGCCATCAGAAAAGATGAATACCCAACTTTTACATCAACATGGATGGGACTGGAGGAGATTATGCTAAGTGAAATAAGTCAAGCAGAGAAAGTCAATTATCATATGGTTTCACTTATTTGGGGAACATAAGGAATAACATGGAGGACATTAGGAGAAGGAAGGGAAAAATGAGGGGGGGAATTGGAGGGAGAGGTGAACCATGAGAGACTATGGACCTGAGAAACAAACAGGGTTCTAGAGGGGAGGGGGGAGGGGGGATTGGTTAGCCCGGTGATGGGTATTAAGGAGGGCACGTACTGCATGGAGCACTGGGTGTTATATGAAAACAATGGGTCGTGGGTCACTACATCAAAAACTAATGATGTATTGTATGGTGACTAACATAATACAATAAAATTAAAAACTACAAAAAAAAAAAAAAACAACATAGCAGCTCTTTCCTAGCTTACGGAAATGTTTTCTTTTCCCTTATAATCATATGCCTGCGGTATGTAGCCTTAAAAACAGTCTGCTCCCCTAGTCTCTGGAGAGACTACTACCAGCTGTGGTAGCAGATTTCAGATTACAGCTGTAGGACACCTTTGCTTGATCCCCTTATAATAAGTTCAAGAGGAGATGTTCTTCAAAAAATTTCATAGGGCTGCTAGGGTGATCAGGATTCTCCTAGGGGCCACCACCAATCATGACAGGGGAGAAAACTAGAGATGGGCTGCTCTGGATGCTGGGAAATTAAGACTATAAAACTGGGTGGCATGAATTTGTGTGTGATTGTTGAGTCCTTAACTTCAAGGGCTCTAACACGAAGACACACGCACACACACACACACACACACATTCTTTTGGTTCTATTTGAGAATCTTAATTCAGCTAGTGTTTGAGAAGGGACAATAAATGCTGAAAGGGTTGGAACCTATACTGGTTGCAAGTGTATTTGAAACTTTGGGTTGAAATCAGGTTCTAAACCCATGATATACCAGGCATTTCAGATGGGAAGGGCAGATGGGGAGTAGAGAAGATAAGGCAGCTGGGCATGTTGTACTGAATTCTTGATATCATTTTTGCTGGGCTTCAAGATGCTTCAGTGTTCCTGGGATATAAGACAGATTATCGCCTATGGAATATAATATTGAGAGGCATTGCATGATGATATTTACATATATATTAGTTTAAAAATCATTGTTTTTTATGTGATGGTCAGATATTGGTCAGGGATATCATGGAAAGTAATATCCATAGAATAATGGAACATGGTGAGGATCCCTTACAGGCGAGTAGGAATGACCATACTTTTATTTTTATTTTTTTAAAAGATTTTATTTGTTTATTTGAGAGAGAGAGAATGAGAGAGAGAGAGAGAGAGCATGAGAGGGGGAGGGTCAGAGGGAGAAGCAGACTCCCCGCCGAGCTGGGAGCCCGATGTGGGACTTGATCCCAGGACTCCAGGATCATGATCTGAGCCGAACACAGTCACTTAACCAACTGAGCCACCCAGGCACCCGACCATATTTTTAATCTTTCATTCCATAATGTATTTTTGATTATAGGACTCCTGGGTATTTTAGCCCGATATAAATGTTTGCAGATATTGGTTAAACAATTTTGGCTAAATCAGAAATAGATATTTATTCTAGAAACTGATATGGTTTAAGGGCCAATAAGCCAATAAATCACGCAACATAATTTCCTCACCTCCTACCCACACTGCATTAAAGATCTAAATGGAGATGAACAGTATCAGGCAAACCTTGGTTTTAGCTTGGTTTTAGGAACTAGGCAAGTCCACCTGCAAAAATCCATGTGTCCCAAGTCTGTTCCACAGTTGACTCAGAGGCATCAGTATTCATGGGGTTGAATATATCTGAAAAGATCAAAATTTCAGAGGGAAGATAGAATCTAAGTAACTGCTGCAGTTCTATAGATGGTATGTTGGAAAGTTTTCGGAGTGTTGTTTAGAAAGTTTGAGGATAATATTTTCTTCTTCATGCTATTGTTTAGAAAACTAATCTAGCAGATGGCTCCAAGGTGGAGAAAATGAAACCAAAATTGTCATGTCCTTTAAGTAATGAACGGGCCTAGTAGGTTTCAAAAAACAAATAGAGGTTGATAAAATCAGACTATAAACAGCTGAAGAGGCTCATAGAAGGGAATGTACAGGTGTAAGGGGAAGGGATTAAGGATTAAAGAGGAGCCAGCCACAGGCTAAATTTGCAAAGAAGAAGGTGATCTTAGACCTGACAGGGCTCACAAAAAAGGAAGGTAAGGAATGACCAAAAAAAGAGTTAAAGAAGCCAATGCACAGTGAACACATACTATGTGCATTACACTGTGCTAAACATTTTACACATATTTACTCAATTTTCAAAACAATGTTATGGAGCAGATTGCCAGCTTTCTTCCATTTACAAATGGAGAAATGGAGGCACATAGCAGATAAATACGCTAAGCCCAAGTCACATAGCCAGTAACTGGTAGAGCCAGGTTTGGATCCATGTTTTGTGGAATACAAAAGTTTTGTTTTACAATAGTGGGAACCTCTTTCAGAAGTAAAATGCAAATTTTCAAATATGAAATACAGATACAGGACTTGGGAAGAGATTGTAAGTAAGGGGCCCTGAGGCTTCACATCCCTAACTTTACCATGCATACATCTTTGGATGAACCAGAATTTGAATGCAAGCAATCTGCCTTTGGAACCTGAGCTTTTTTTTTTTTTTTTTTTAAAGATTTCATTTATTTATTTGACAGAGAGAGACACAGTGAGAGAGGGAACACAAGCAGGGGGAGTGGGAGAGAGAGAGAAGCAGGCTTCCCGCGGAGCAGGGAGCCCGATGCGGGGCTCGATCCCAGGACCCTGAGATCATGACCTGAGCTGAAGGCAGACGCTTAATGGCTGAGCCACCCAGGCGCCCCTGAACCTGAGCTTTTAACTACTCCACTGCCTACCAGTGAGGACAAGGACCCAAAGAGGCATGCCCAAACACTAATAGAGAGAGTACCAAAGTAGGAAAATACAAGGCCTACTATAAGCAAACATTTATCTTCCATGGCTGACCATTCTAGGGTGTTTCCCCATAAAGTTGATGTGAACAGTCTCAGCATTCATCCTTTCTTTTATGAACTCATCTCTCTACCCATCATCTACCTAGTTCTTTCAGATAATCTATTCTATAAATATTGATTAAGCACCTACCTTTACAGAGAGGTTTAAGGTGATGAGCACACAGAAATGAATTAGAATATAATGGGGGAGGCAGTCAAAAATTTGTTAATTTAATAGGCTGTGATCAGAATTGTAATATTAGTTTCTGTTTATTGAGGACTATTAAGTATTTTACAGGTTTAACCTAAATGGAGCGGGCAGTTGCTAGACATGTTGCTGTCCATCCATAGATTGTATAAAGCATCCAAGCAAACATGATAAAATAGAATTTGATTCAGAAGTTTTAAATAATATTGAAGTTCTTTACTATAGTTATACT